CTTGAAATTACCTTTCAAATGGTTTTTGGATGAACCTGATATCATAAAAATTAATTGAGTTATTGTAAAAAAACCAATAACATTTTTTTGGAAAACTTTTTGAGGCAAAGATTTTGTATGTATATTAGGAAAAAAGATAAATAGTAAGAAGTAGACGTGTCGATAGGTACATGCTCACAAATCATACATGATGAAAGAATTATTTTTTCATGATTTTCGATTTAAGGGGTGGTTGCTAAATGGGTTGAAAAATTAATTAAAATCAGAAATTATGCATATAAGTGTTGAAAAATATTTATTTTATCTAATTAAACGAGATTACTTACTCCAGAATGCTTAAATCTGCATTTTCCCCCATTTTTAACAAAAGGGGTGGATTTCACCCCTAAAATGCAAAAAGCGCAAGTCGAGCATATGTCACTTTTGAAGTTGAGGGTAAAATATACTAAATCCCAAATTTTCATGCAAATCGATGGAGGTTCACCGAAATCGGAAGTAATAGTTAATTTTTACCTTCATTCACTGTACTAATGAAACGTATGAGAATTTCACATGCAGTCACACAAGACAGACGGAGAAATAGATACTTTAGTTAAATTTAACTGACCGGATAAAAATGCCACTTAGAACAGAAGGGTAGAATAAATTACCAATTTCATGAATAACATTTGCAATTACCTCGCCTTTTATAATGTAGCCTGTGATCATTGGTCCAAGCAGCCCAGCTACGTTGGCAGCACAGTTTGTAAATGCCATCAATATTCCGGCAAATCTAGGCGATATGTCGAGGTGATTTACTTTAAATCCAGAATATATTCCACCATTTAAACCCATAGCAATAGTGAGAAGTGACACAGTTAACCATCTGTAACATCCAGTATATCCAGCAGCAAACAAGGCAATGGCTGGTCCAAACAATCCTGGATTTTAGAATTTTCAGTAAAAATAAGGAAATAATTTTTGTTCATCTTGTGCAATGTTGTATAAATAAAGATTGGTGGATATAAGTCATTTTTGAAGGTAAACATCTTTACGCACGGTAGGGCAAGCTCGTTTCATGCGAGTTGCTATCTAATGAAATCATGCAACGCATTTCCCCCGCTGTCTATCCCTATGTATGCTTAGATCTATAAAGCTACGCAACGGATTTTAATGCGTTTTTTTTAATAGATAGAGTAATTCAAAAGGAAGGTTTACATGTATAATACATGCATAATATAATAGAGAAACACTGATAATTTTAGAGGGTTGTAATGTGATGTCGTAAATAAACACATTTTTTGCGTTTACATTGCAAACGCTGGCTGAACCTTACGAGATAGATCAAAATAATGTACTAAAGATGTAAAATGTACCCTAAAAAGATCTACAAAAAAGTCCGGGATGGTATATGTCTATCTCTTAGGGAAAACCCACAATAACCATTTTTTATCCTTTACTTTTTACGAGAAATAATGACTTATTTACGAAGCGATTTTAAGCAATACAGCATTAATTCATATCCAATTAAGTACTTTTAAAAACATTGTGCATTTAATACAGATCAATATGGCCCTTTACAGCATGTAATTTNGGTATATGTCTATCTCTTAGGGAAAACCCACAATAACCATTTTTTATCCTTTACTTTTTACGAGAAATAATGACTTATTTACGAAGCGATTTTAAGCAATACAGCATTAATTCATATCCAATTAAGTACTTTTAAAAACATTGTGCATTTAATACAGATCAATATGGCCCTTTACAGCATGTAATTTAAATGAATATTTTCGAAGATATTACAGACTTAAAATGCAGGTACTTACTTTACTTTACTTTACTATCAGTATTGCACCCGTGCGAAGCATAGTATATAAGTAATACCATTAAACCAATTTCTTAACCCTATCCCGGTGTGTTTGTGTGTTTGAAGAAGTTTCACTTCAGTAGCGTGTTGTACGAGGTGTGTTCAAAAAGTACCCGGAATTGTCGTTTTTTCAAAAAAATATTTGTCCCCTTCAAAGTATTCCCCCCCAGATATAATACACTTATGCCAGCGTTTTTCAATCTTCGAAGCACTCTTGATATTCACTTTTTGGTATGTGCTTAAGCACTCTCAGCGATTCGGCTTTTATTTCTTTGGGAACAGGAAAAAGTCACACGGAGCCATATCTGGTGAATATGGAGGTTGGGGCATGACTACGGTATTGTTTTTGGCCAAAAAATTACGAACAAGCAACGACGAGTGAGCAGGTGAGTTATCGTGGTGCAAAAGCCATGAATTGTTTTTCCATAAATCGGGGCGCTTTTTTCGGATTGCTTCACGCAAACGTCGCATAACTTCAAGGTAATACCCCTTATTAACCGTACGACCTTGTGGTAAGAACTCTTGATGCACTATGCCATTATAATCGAAGAAAACAGTAAGCAAAACCTTGACATTTGATCGAACTTGACGTGCTTTTTTCGCTCGTGGTGACGTTGAATGCTTCCAGGTGGACGATTGTGCTTTGGTTTCTACATCATAACCGTACACCCATGTTTCATTACCAGTTATGACCCCTTCAAGCAAACTTGGATCGTCGTTGACGTCATTTAACAGCTCCTGAGCGAAGTTCATGCGATTGTTTTTTTGGTCAAAATTCAGCAATTTTGGAATGAATTTTGCTGCCACTCGTTTCATACCCAAAACATTTGAAAAAATGTTATGACATGAGCCAATTGATATGCCAACTTCATCAGCAACTTCTCTAATTGTGATTCGGCGATCATTCATAACCATTTTTTCCACTTTTTGCACATTTTCATCGATTATTGACGTGCAGGGTCGACCGGAGCATTCGTCATCTTCAACGTCTTCGCGGCCAACTTGGAAACGCTTATACCACTCGTAAACGCTTGTTTTTTTCATAGCAGACTCACCATAGGCTTTTTGTAACAGTTCACACACTTTGTTACACTTTATTTCATTTTTTTACGCAAAATTTAATACAAATTCTTTGATTCTTCAATTCTTCCATTGTTTAAACAAGCAAAAATCGCCGAGCTCATAAAAACACGTCGAACCTTAGCGACTACCACAGACAAAGTAAACAGTGAATATAGCTGAAAATTTTATCATACTTTAGGGGCATGTATACCAACACAATAAAAAAAAATTGACAATCGGACTCTCCAGACCCGCGAAATTTAAAAATTCCGGGTACTTTTTGAACACACCTCGTAT